AGGGTGGAAACAAATAAACTGTAAACCATGTTGATCAAGAAAAGCCACTGCATTGACAATGGTTGTCACCTTAAGTGACATAGCAAGATCACAGTGACAAACATGGCCTGAGACAGCTAATTCTAATAACTCCATTAACACCTGATCTAGCTGACTTTTAGTCAGCACATTAGGCTCCTTCACTTTTCAATTTGTCTTTTCGGTAGGTGGCAACTGGATAAAATCAGACTGCCCCACTGTGTTCCTTCTTTGATCGTATGCTTACCACTTGTTATGACTTGCAGTGAGATTTATGTATTGATCATGACAAAATGGCTATAATAAATTAAATTCACTGCTGATACTTCCTTTTGATAACTTCCTAATCTGGCAGTGCTTCCAGTCCTCTTGATATATCGCCAATATTCCTGAGACACAGTTCCAATCTACCACATTAGTAAATGTCCCTCTCAGAAGAGAATGGTTGGTTCAGGATAAGGCCCCGATGCCCACAGGTGAAAGGAAGAGCACCTTTCACTGCTCATGCCAAAATGAGATGATTTTGTGAAGCAGCCCTCACCTGCCAACAAAGATGAGGAGTATGTTGCAGTGCTGCAACATGTATTTGTCCCAGATGGGTAGCTGTCTTGGAGAAGTTCTGTCTGTCATGTTTGTTGGAATTACAGTAGTATGTATACTTCTGCAGCCTGGGAACTGTGTAGATCATTTGTATGTATCATTTGTAAACTCCTCTGGGACTCACAAAGTTATTATGGAGAAGATAAACAAGTCAGTGTTTTCTATCTTAGAGCTTAACTTTGTTCCTGGAACATTGCTATCATTCAGAAACACCTCCTCTCTCCTGTATCTGAGATTTGTTCTTCCTCAAAGCATACAAAAATGTGTTTTCCTCACAAGTAAACAAAATGATGCTTCAAATTTTCCAGATTTTCCAGATTCTAATATATAATTTATAAGGAAAATGAGTTATTCAAAGATATAAAGTGACAAGCTGGCTGCTTTTTTTAGGAATGTAACTTCATTAGGTAGATGCTTAGCTTCAGCAGAATAAAACAAAAAGCTGAGACTAGTGACTGAGAACAAAGCTTTCCTGAGTAACACAGAGAATGTATTAGGATGTTAGGATTTGGACCTACATACACAGAATAATCTAAGTTTCTCTGAAGTTAGCTAGTATGACTGGGAATCACGTAGAGCTAATGGATAGAGAACGCCAAGTACAAGGATATGCTAGAAGAGGAACTTGGTTTAGTGGGAATTTTCATTCATTCAGCTTTTGGATACTAAACTAACTAGGGTAGATAAGCACTCAGAACAAGAAAAAGAACCTGCTGCAATGGACGACTGGGAAAATCCAATTGATACTCTTCTACCTCTTCTATCTTTCTTCCTCTATTTCTGCAGCCAGTGAAACAGCTGTGACCATCCAAACATTGATTACATACAAGGTGGGGCTCAGTTCCTCAGTTCTGTAGAGACACAGATCTTTAAGCACAAGACAGTGTTGCCCTTAATTTCTTATGTTCATGTGAAGTCCCTGGGCTTCCATAGCTGTCATATCCAGTCCTGCATTTCAGTGAGAATTTGGAGGAAAGTACACAATTCGAGATGATGACATTCCTGCTTCCAAGGCTGTTTCAGGAATGGGAATACTGAAAATGAGGTCCTCTGCATTTCAGATGAGTCTATTTAGCTGTCTAGCTGTCATTGCTAAATGCATTGAACTTTGAAGATTCACTATACTTCATATAATTTAAAAGAACGAAAATTCAAGCAACAAGAATGCTTTCAAGTGAGAGCCTGCATTGTGAACTGTAGATCACTTTAAAGTTCACTGGACAATTCAGAAACTACCACTAAGCCCATGATATTCCTGCTGACATTACTTTCACAAAGGCATGTACTGTATTCCCATCTCAAGCCAAAAATCAGGCTTATTCAATTACATGCAAAATGACATAATTAGCCTCGTTCCTAACATAAAATGACAACTCCTGCTCAGGCTATGAACTAAATTGCAAATTGAACTTGTAGATTTTATATATGCAGTTGACTTTGGTTCAGTTCATAACAAGGTTTAGAAATCTTGGTTTTTGAACAAACATATCCTGTAAGATTTGGAATGATATTTGGTACAAAATAGTACTTTTTTTTTTTTAGTTACCCATATAGCGATATGGAAGTAGCAAGTAACCTAAATATGAAGATGTAGGATTTTGAGAGAGTTGGTTTATAACCAAACTGCTGGTTTATAATGTGGTGAAGAATTTGAGTCTGAATCACCTAGATGGATTATTGCTTGCAGGGAAGTTTTAAGCAATTAAATTCCTATACAGACATGTTAAATCTCAGTCCTGTTCTGAATTTTGTAACGGTATGAGTTTCGACTGGTGTTTTTAATTGGTTGCTTCATGAGGAATACATATGGCTCCTTAGGTAGGAATCACATTGGTCTCAATGGGTTCAGCCTTATGTTTGAGGCAACGTGGGGCTGTGCTGCCCTGAAGGAATGGAGCAGGCATCATGCATAGTAACCCTAATCTCTTGGGAAAATCGTTTTCTCAGGGATCTGCTCTGCCCTATGGGCTAGTCAAAAGAGAGATGAATCTGAGTGGACTCTATCATGTGTTTCTGGTGCTTTGCAGTGAATAAAGAGCTTAGCCAGCAACACTGGATGGAGTCCACTTAATATCTCTCGATTCTTTTACAGCCAAATATAAGCCTCGCAAAATGTGGTCCTTTCCACATACATCTACCTCTTTCATCCATAATTATATCATATATATCCACATTTCATAGAGTTCTAGCACAAATGTAACTAGAAAAAGATGAGGAAATTACCATCCAAAGAAATGACTCTTGTGGTGAAAAGTGTTATGAATGTCAATCAGCACATTGCAACTGCAAGCAAAGAGCACGTTACCTGCTGCCCAGTGCCAAAAGTAATTACAGGTTTGGTAACAGAGCAGGGAGTTCAATGGACAACACTCAAGTGACTACATAAATTCTTATCTATAGAAATATGTGTTTACAGTATGGTCTTGCAGTCTGTATTATCCATTTGCTCATTTCAAGGCAAAATTGGAAAAATAATTATCTTTTCAGCAGAAAAATACTAGAGCTGTAGAAATTTCCATTGATTAATCCAGAAATTACCCAAGAACTCGAAGCATTTGTACACCATAACCTGTAATTTTGCTGACGGGCTACAGCAAGGCTCTCAGAGCCAAGAGGGTTCAGCTAAGGTGACACAGTAAATGCAGAAACATACTGCACTGAAGCTGCATAGAATTTCAACTCACATCGTTAGCTTCAAGGATAATAACTGTGAACTCCAGGGCAAACTTTTCTTATAGAGAACTAATGAGTTTTTGCAGTACCTCAGAACATCCTGTACCTGTTCATGAGCTCTGAGATAAACAAGCAGGAAGGAAAATAATCGTCATTGCTCCTATCTCCTTTTAGTCCTATGGTTCCCTGCTACTTAGTGGTATCATTTTACCACCAAATATATCTTCAGAATTCTGCATGAAATTGTTCCTCTCCATGAATTTAAAACAGAACAATTTGGTTGAGGTGTTGTAAAGAATTGAATGTTTTATGTGCTCCATATTCCTACAAGTTCCTTTCAAATTCATTATATTTTAATAAGAGCGCGGAAAATATTCAACAGAATGATGTATTATCAAACCAGTTTTATGTCAACCAGAAAATTGGATAACAATATTCAGCTTTTTATAAAAATTGTTTGGAATATTTTATATTTAATTTGAACATATCATTTTGTTCCTTTTCATTGTGAACTGCACATCAGAGCTAACTGTTAAAGTCAGCTGCATTATGATTAAAATAATACACAGTGCATCATATCTCGCATGCCAAAATGAGATTAATTAAAATTTCAAAAACAAAACATTTTGACATAATGAAAGAAAACAGTATTAGTGGTTTAATAAAAAAATAATTCCCCATCTGTGGGAAACATTAAAAACTTGGATTTTTTTAAAAAGAAAACCTGACATCCCAACATAAACCAAAGGACACTAGAAATATATAATGTTTGGCTTCTGTCAATCAAACCCTGTATAATTTGATCTATAGTTTTCCAACCTTGATTAGGTTGGAAAATGTATACTGAGTCCATACTTTTCACATACTGATCAAACATATAAAGGTGCTTCATGTCTACAGTCTCAAAGCAAGGCCTTCCCGTTTGCTTTAGTTATGGAGTACATGTCATCTTCACACGATGCTGACCCTTGCTACTTAGTTCAGGGGTGTGCAGCTACTCACACTCCCAGGAAGCTCAGGAGAAGGTCTCTTCCTCCAGATTCAGAACTGGGTTAGATCTGCATATGTTTTATGGCTGTAGTTATTGATACGGACTGCAGCACAGCAGTAGCTCTCACCACCTCCCATCTTTCAGGCTGCCTACTGATCTCACATTCCAGACTGTCCTGAAGATATGCCTGAACACTCTGGACAACTGCTGCATGTACAGTAGTAAAGTCATTCACCCCACACAATGAGGCCTTGTTGCAAGCCTGTTGGTGGCTTGCATCCATGTGGCCTCTTTGGATCAGACCGGATCAGAGTCTTCCACACATCTTGCCTTGCACCTCTGGGTTCAGTTTTGTTTTTGTATTAAACTTTAGAACACATGCAGTAATGTGAGAGTGTGCCACAAATAACCAGAGTGGGTTTTGTATACAGTGAGAACATCATGCATGGCCTGGGATGAGGTGAAATAATGTGTGATGGTGAACACAGATATGCTGTGGTCCTGGAACAATACCATATTGCTGGAGGGGTGAAAATGGTTGAGGGAGCAAACTTGATGTTTAGGTGGTTTGTGCTGCCCATCAGAAAAAGCCTATGGACCAAATTGCTGAAACCACACACAGATTTTATCCCAGAACTAACATATGCAAAGAGAATCACTCCCCAGAGAGAATCAAAGCAAACCAATGAAAGCACAATGTGGATACCATCAGACTCACCTTGATACAGCTCTCGGTGCAGTTCCAGTCTGAAGTAAAACAAAAAGTTTGAAAGAATCTGTATCTTTGCCCCATCAGACAATGGAAATCTCTGTTCCCACTCAGAGTTTTAGAATGATGACAGTGACATTTAAATGGTGTATTCATCCACACAGTGGTTTTTTATGGCATGTATGTACCTCTTGCCATGCTTCAGAAAACCGTTCCTAGATTACACAAGCCTGGAGAAATGCTGATTAAGCTGTACAGTAAATCTGAGCCTGAAACATGGGTAATTAACCACTGCAGCAGCTGCCAATAACTGCAGGGCAAGAGCTTCTTTTAATTTTACTTCAAAAGCTGAAGGAAGCAACATTTGATTGTGAGACTTCAGCCAACTACAGAAGAAAATTGAGGCTTGTATTTCTTTGCCTTTCAAATAACAAGAGGAAAATTACCAGCATTTTCTTCATGAGACAACAACAACTCTAAATCAGGATTCAAAATATAAAGAATAAATAAGCATGCTATATGTGTATGTATTAGAATAAAAAACAATAGTTTGAAGATGAAGAAAGAAGTCAGCAGTTAAGCAAGAACAGGATTGACTCTGAGAGGGAATTCCAGAATTCCAGCTTTGGTTTAGATAAAGGACCACTGCAGGATCTTGGAACAGTCACATCCCAAACAAGTATCTCAGTTTCTCAGTCACAGATTATTCTGAAAGTTAAAAAAAAAAAAAAAGTTACATAAAATAATCATATAATATGCATGTATCATTCTCTTAAGCAATATTATTCTCTTAAGTGTGTCAGCTTTTAAATAAGCAAACAGAAGAAGACAGCAACATTTCTACAGCATATGCTGTATTTGCACCTATAAGAGCCATGTGCTCAACAGATACTCATTTTTCTTTCTGCTTCCTCTCTTGTCACAAGATGAAAATCAAGAGATAATTAAAAATGTGTAATTAAATTTTAAAAATGGGCTTACTAAAAAAGTTGCCTGCATTCCATCAATATCTTGCAATAAGAGAAGATGGAAAAAAAGGGACAACTTTTTCAAAGGCAAATGCAGATATTAGTTCTTTTATCTTTTCCATATATATATACATATACATATATATATAATATAAACAATAAAGAAAATCATATAATATATGTAAATACTGTATGATTTATGTTATATAGATGTTATATATATATAAAATTTTGTTTATCTTCTAGAATTCATAAAATAGCAATATGCATTATTTGAAATCTTTGAAACATTGCCTTCAGGTGAAAGTCTAGTAGGCTTTATCTTAGCACCATTATTGAGAAAATACATGGCTAGAGACTGAAAGCACTGAGAATATATTCTCTTTTTTGTGGTGAATGAATTTATGTGATGACATCCTAAATTGAATAATACGTAAATAGAGATTAGATCTATCATGCATTCTTATAGAAAACAATCATTTTCAATAGCCTTATCAAAATTTGGTAGCAGCCCTTACAATTTATTACATTAAAATATTCATTTAAAATTTTGTCTATTGTATATATGTATATATTATATAAATATATATGGTAAAAGGTATAATTACAAGAGCAAAAAGCCCCACACAGAATCAGATTTGTAACTGAGGCATGCTGTAGAACACTAAACAGCTTCTTCTAATGCAAAATCCTCAGTTGTAATTAAATTCAGTTATGTTAAAAATGCATATACAGGCGGGCTGAGTAGATCATGACTTGCTCATGGTGAGACTCCAAGTTGTCACTTCATATTCAGTCCTAGTGGTTAAATGACTGAAATTGTTAATTGTTCAGTATCCCACATGAAATGAGATGCGTGGTCTCTGACTGCTAGAGAAGTGTTTAACATTACAAGAACACCAACTCACTTGGCACTAACTGGAAACTTTATTGTCAGTCTCAGCATTTATGCAAATGTAGGGATACTGCATGGTGACCGAGTAGCTATTAGGCTGATGATGGCATACACACAGAGACCCTGAAAAAACAATAAATGGATAAGAATTGAATTGCTACTGTTTATTTTATATCTAGATCTTGAATTAATAAAAGGCTTAGTAGGGCTGAAAATCCACTATCTGTTACTAAATTTTAATTTACTTCACAGATTAATAGATAGATTTGGGTTGGAAGGGACCTTTAAGGTTTAGCTGCAAGCCCCTGCCATAGGCAGGGACACCTCTAGAACAGGTTACTGGTCTACATGCCCATTCAGCCTGGCCTTGAATGCTTCCAGGCAGGGGGCATGCACAACTTATGATGTCAGTTGCTCAGAAAGAAAATCATTTTTGGGGAAAAAAAAAAAAATCAAAATGTTTAAGGAGATTCACCACAGATTTGTCCCAGAATTCAGTGACAAGAAAACTTTGCCACTGACAGAACGGTTGAGAAATTTGGCTACCTGTATTACATTTACTCTTACAGCTCTATAAAATTTTGTGAATTACTGGTAAAGTAATTATTTATGAACATTCTATAATCAATGGTGAAAGAAAGGGGACTGAATCACTCTATTCTTAACACTTCTGCTATTTACTAGGTACAGAAGAAGCCTAAATGGTGATTTTCTGCAGGAAATAACTGAATGTTGTACTAGCCACAGAATTTACATCAGCTGATGTTAAAGTAATTGTTCCCATTGCTTTCTTTCATGAAAAGCTATTCTTTCTCAAATGGCCTTTACACTCAATTCCCTTTCATAGGATACTGGGATTTTCTGGCAGCTGGATGACACTGGGTTTTACCTTCAGTGAGATTGAGGATCTTGATCATCAGACTATGGAGGGATGTAAGACTGCTCCTATGGTACTGGTAGTGAAAATTATGAGTCAAATCTAGGCAAAATTCAGTTCTTCTTCTCTATCTAGATAAAAGGAAAAAAATCATTCAATTTCAAAGTTCTGTTCTATGTACAAACTGAATTCTGTAGAGATTCTGTAAACATTCATATTCTGTCTCAAATATCTCAAGCCACAAGTTTTTCTTAGTCATGACACTTTCCCCTTCTAAGATGAGATGAATTTCAGAGATGTTATCACCAATACTGAATATGAAGAAAAAGAGGAAAAAACAAGGCATATATAAACTGCCTGGCCCTTTGTCTAACCTCTCAGCTCCAGGAGTGATCAGTTTAAATATTTCCTGAACCAGACATTGCATCTGGGTTGCTTATGGATGTTCCCACGAATTGGAAATGACCTCACAATGCAGTTATGCAACATTATGGAAAAGCATTTCCTTCTGTTTATTTTAAGCTCATTACCTGATAACTTTATTGTGCGTGTGTCCTCCTGAGTTCCTGACTGAAAGGAGTCCTATGAGTCTTCCAGTTCGCCATAATATTCATTACCTTGTGAAAATCTTTCACTGCTCTAAACTGCCCTTTTCAAGCTGAAGACACGCATTCAGTTTAGCCTACCTACATGCAGAAAACATTCTCCACCTCTGTCAGCTTCTTTGCCTTTCTATACTTTATTTATTACTATTATAGTTCTGTATTATTGGGAGAGTTATTTTGGTTTTTCACAGAGTCACAGAGTCACAGAATGGCCAGGGTTGGAAGAGACCTCAAGGATCATCAGTCTCCAACCCCTCTGCCACATGCAGGGCCACCAACCTCCTCATTTAATGCTAGACCAGGCTGCCCAGGGCCCCATCCAATCTGACCTTGAACACCTCCAGGGACGGGGCATCCACAGCATCTCTGGGCAGCCTGTTCCAGCACCTCACCACTCTCTCTTTAAAGAATTTCCTCCTGAAATCCAACCTAAATCTACCCTCCCTCAACGTAAAACCATTTCCCCTCAACCTGCCATTATCTATCCTTTCAAAGAGTTGATTCCCCTCCCCTCTGTAGGCTCCCTTTAAGTATTGAAATGCTGCAATGAGGTCACTCTGCAGCCTTTTTTTCCTCCAGGCTGAACAAGCCCAGCTCCCTCAGAAAAAAACCAAAAACTTAGACCTATTTTTACGTTATCACCACCCCAAATCTTCATATGATTATGCTTATCCTCAACTAACGCATTTGCTGAATCTTCAGGAATTATGTATGACACTCTAAAAAAAAAAAACCAGTTCCTTCATAGTGCATTTGGGTAAAGTTTTATCTTAACGAGGATTCATCAGTGGCTGTCTTTTCAAGTTTCTTATGTGTGCATATGATTGTGCAACAGTTTTAAAGCTTGAGGTAGCCATGCTGCTCACTTCTGTGGCATTTCAATACTTTCAGATTCACCCAGTTGCATTTAGGTGTTTAGGTATAAATACAGGAACAGAAACAGATGTTTACACTGATATTTGACACACAGTCTTCTACTTTGTTCCTGTAGCCAAGCATAGCTTTCTACATCATTATTCTACCAAAGTCTAATATATTGTCAGTTTTGTCAGGAATATCAATTGTCTCATCTGCCTCTGTCACTTCATGTGGTGCCAGTTAGATTTAAAAGTGGATTTTTGGATTCAAGAAAGGTAAAACTGAATGGATTCAAATAATGTTAGCATGAATCTTCTTCATAAAGTATCCTGCAGTGAGTGTTTACTGGGAAACAGGCTAGATATGGTATTTGTATCATTTACTGAAAACCTTCTAGTAGCATAAACAAAAACTTCACCAAACTCACACTCCAAAGTCTGCAGACTGACCTCAGATGCTCTTTGTATCAACAGATGGGTCCCTCTGACTCACACTCATTCTGTGTTCTTGGGAAGCGTCATGCCTTAGCAAGCCTGAGACCCTAAGGAACTCCATAAACTAGTCTGTGAGATGGAATGCATGCTTCTTTTTCTGTTTGTTGTAGATGAAAGCAGAATGTTCATGTGGTTTTGGGAAATGCTGTTGACAGTATTTCTTTCTGGAAATGAAAAAGTGATAAGAAGTCCAGGAATCTTCCTTTTCAACATCTGATTTCTCAGGTTTAGAGTTTACAGGATATATCTAGTGCACTTTTTTGTGTCACAAAATATTTTTGTTTGTGAGTTTTTTCTCCTCTTCATTATGAATTTAGTAAACAACAGCAAGTAAATGTTCAGGCCAGGAAAGAGAGATTAAATATCTTAATACTGACTATTTAATAATTTTGGACATTAATGTTTCTTGTATCAGAACAATGCATTCTGGCATAACTTCTCATGATGTGACCAAAAGAAAATAAAAAGAGGTAGAGTAAAATAAGATGAAAAACAAGAAAGATCACATGTCCATGCAATGATGATCTTATTCAAAGAATAACTGCATTTGAATATTGGAGAGATTTTATTCTATCATTCAGTTGTGAGATCTCAAGGCAAACATTCAACCCAGATGAGGTAACTTCAGCCTAATTGTCATGCTAAAGATCAAGAGTCTTGGTTGTTACATTTGAATGCAGAATAAAAGGGTGGATTAGTAGTTACAGACTTACTATGAAAAGCATATTAAATCTGAGAGTCTATGTGGATGATTTGTTAAGTTTAAAACTTATTGCATGAGGTCCCAGGTTCTATTCCTGAGGCAATCCATGAGCCTTCCAGTAGTTTATTTATAAAATATGATAGTAGTTCATATTTGAATGTTCCCAGCTTATAAGGCAAGTATGGATTTATTTTGTTTAGGTGGCTAAGTGCACAAAAAAAAAAAAAAAAAAAAAAAAAAAAAAAAAAGTCAGTAGGTCCGAGTAATATAAATCCATGGCCTCCTTTTTTGTAGCTCAAAGAGTTTTCCCCTCAAGTAGGAGGGAATAGGTAGTACTGCCTTTCCCCTTTCCTACTGAGTGAGTTATGATTCTCTAATAAATACTGTACTACTCTGTTGACATCCCAACATCTTTATATATTCAAATAGTTCTGTATGGACAGTCTAACCCAAAGAAGCCAAGCAATAAAGTCATTTGAAAGCAGTGCTGTGTTATTCATTCTGAGGAGGTATCACCCACTTGAGTGCCTTGGCTTTCCAGTGTGGCTCATTCCTCTCAAGTGTCATTACATGTATAAACAGGGAGGGAGTCCCCACACCCTGCACAATGCAGGACTGTCCTTTTCTCCTACGCTGACTTATACATTTCCTTTTCTTCCTATGGAAAGAAATGATGAACAATAATATAGACAACTCTATAAAAATCATGCTGCCAAAGTCTTGACAATCAGATGAAGAGCATGCGGACAAGGTGGAGAAAATAGAATCTCTCTTCCCAGAAGTAAAAATAAAATAAAATAAAATAAAATAAAATAAAATAAAATAAAATAAAATAAAATAAAATAAAATAAAATCCACTCTTAAGCATCTTCATTTGGTCTCAAATTTATATATCTAGTAAAAAATTCCTCTTCAAACACAAGACTACTCTTCCATGCATTTAATATAGATAGAACAAATACCTCAGGAGATAGACTCAATTTTGCTCATCTTAAAATGGTCCTCCTTGCATATATAAGCAATTCAGAGATTATTCTCACAAGCATTTTTTCATTAGGCACCTAAAATTGTAGCACTGTTTGCAGAAAAAAAAAATCATGCGCATGCTATTACAATTTCTTGGAAGGGAACAAGGAGGATTATTTTATTATATTAAACTTTTATTTTGCAAATCTGGAGATAACCAGGTTTGGGATGCTGTGTTGTTATTTTGTTGTGTTTGTATGTTGTGATTTTTTTTTTTTTTTTTTTTTTGCTGGCTTTTTGATGCTGTTTGTTTTTTTGTTGTTGTTTCTTTTTTTGTTTGTTTTATTTTTATGGGGGAGGGAGGAGGCAAAGGACAGTTGGGGGGAGGGTTGTGTAAATAAAAATAGGTTTAATGCACTTGTTTAACTATAAATGGAACAGGCTGCCCAGGGAAGTGGTGGAGTTCCAGGAGCATTTGGACACCACTCTCAGACTCCAGGTCTGGATTTTGGGTGGTGCTGTGTGGAGCCAGGGGTCAGATTCAGTGATCCCTGTGTGTATCTTCCAACTTGGGATGATAACTTCATCTAAGGTATCTCAGGTACTTCTGCCATGAATAAAATGGACATTTATTCTAAGAAAAGTCAATTAACAGTAGCTGGATTATTTTACTTACAATAGAGGGTATTATTTCTATCAGGACAGAGGAGATGAAGATGATATGCTCTAAGACAAGTTTATTTTGACTGCATTATCTTTATTCATTAGCAAACTCAAGCATTTTTTCAACTATTTCACATTTTCTTTTAACCTCTTTTCTTGCTTCATTAGCTTCATTTTAGAAGTTTACTTTTTATTTCAGAGTATTTTTTTTACCACCCATAAAGCAATTACATATTTGATTTAAAATTATGTAGAATTGAGATAATGCAGGCTAAGATTTTAATGAGCTTCTGAATCACTGAACATGTTGATAGTTATGAATCTAGTAGGCTGCATAATTTGCTTTCTTAAATGGAATCTATGCTCATTGTCTCATCAAGTAAGTTCTATTGATTGTTCAATGTAATTACATATTCTTTCAAATCCTGGTAGGATTTCAACCTGGAGGTTCAAAAGGTGGAGTGATTAAAGACTGCCTAATAATTTGAAACTTCTAGCTTATTTTATTCTCTGTCATCAAGTTAAGACAGATGGGCTGGATATAGGACAATTTTAGTAATAATAAATTGGCAGAAAGTAGTCATGTTTGCTGAAGAGTTTATAGTCTGTTATTTGAAGAAATGGATTGGCACTGTAACTTTGTAAGTGTGTGTATAAGAAAAGCTGAAATTGAGGTCTTCTTGCCTTCTTCACATCTCTCAACATTCACTTATTTAGGAATATTCGTTACAAATTATGTCTAATGTGGCTGTCCTCACCACAGCCAAGAAGAAATGCATTGCTTAACACTAATTTTTTTTGTTCTCTTTTTTTCAATTTGCCTACCTCCAACTCCTGCTAGT